AAAGCAAAATAATTTAGCTATAAATGTTTTCGTACATTCTTCTGAAGGAATTGTTGTACACAGGATAAGCTCCGCTCCGGGAACATATTCCAAGAATCAATTCATTTCTAATCGAAAAAGATGGTAAATATCAATATACATGGATAAAGAGTTTAAGCAGACTATTATACGATCAAACAAAACATGCTAGAAAGAAATATTTCTGCGAAAGATGCCTACATGGGTACAGCAGACAAGATTTATTAGAAGTGCATAAAGAAGACTGTAGAGGTGTTGGACAGACTGCTATCAGGATCGATATGACAAAAGAGGAAAAAATATATTAAAATTTGAACATTATTGTAATCAAATGCCAGTACCGTACGTAATTTACGCCGACTTCGAAGCGCTTATCAAACCCATAGAAAATACTGAACACAATAATCAAGATACGTACAAAACTCGGGGAGCTGCACATAGCGAGTGTAACTTGAAACTAAAAACGAATTCTCAAACAATACCCATCCCCATTGTGTTTCACAACCTTAGAGGATACGATTCTCATCTCATTATGCAAGCTATCTCAAAGACAGATAGTGGCTTAACGTACATTCCTAACAATATGGAAAAATACATATCATTCTCGTTGACTAAAACTATACATTATACGTACAAGGATGGGAAAGCCAGAATAAAGCAAAGTAATGGGCTTAGATTCATAGACTCCGTACAGTTTCTGTTATCTTCCCTGGACAATTTAGCTAATGCGAACAATCCCGATGACTTTGTGATAACAAATCAATATACCGATAGGTTAACTCGTCATTTGTTGCTGAGAAAAGGTGTATATCTTTACGAATATATGGATGATTGGTCTAGATTCGATGAAACTAAATTACCACCCCTTGAATCATTCTATAGTAACTTAACAGAATCTAAAATAACAGATGCCGATTATGAACACGCTCTGACGGTGTGGGATAAATTAAGTTGTAAGAATTTAGGTGATTATCACGATCTGTACTTAAAAAACGATGTACTGTTACTCATCGATATATTCGAGATATTTAGAAAGACATGTTTAAAACAATACGACTTGGACCCGGCATGGTACTTTTCCAGTCCCAGACTATCGTGGGATGCATTGTTGAAGAAGACCGTCATAGAACTAAAACTACTCACAGATTACCATATGCACTTGTTTATTGAGAAAGGATTAAGAGGTGGTATATCGATGGTAGCGAAAAGGTATTCTAAGGCTAATAATAAATTAGTGGAAGGATATGATCCGAGTAAACCCGACACGCACATATTATATCTCGACGCCAACAATTTGTACGGATGGGCTATGAGTCAACCTTTACCCACGTGTGGTTTTGAGTGGGTTGATGATATCGAAGTGAATAATATCCATAATATCAATGCGAATAATGTGAATAAAGGGTACATACTAGAAGTTGACTTGGAATATCAAAATTCGTTACATAAAGACCATAACAGTTATCCGCTAGCTCCCGAAAGATTAATGGTTAATAAAGATTGGATGTCGGAATATCAACACTCCTTGATGGGTAATACAAGGTTAGCTAACGTAGAAAAACTCGTACCAAATCTGATGGATAAGACAAAATATATAGTTCACTACAGAAATCTCCAGTTATATCTATCGTTAGGTATTAAACTAATGAAAATACACAGAGTTCTAAAGTTTGATCAAAGCCCTTGGATGGAGCCCTATATAAGGTTGAACACAGATTTAAGAAAGATAGCTACCAGCGATTTCGAACTCAGTATTTGGTAAAACTATGGAGAATCTAAGGAAGAGTGTTGATGTTAAATTGGTCAGATCTAATGAGGAAGAAAGACTCAGGAAACTTATAGCCAGTCCGGCTTTTAGCAGAAGCAAGATATTCGATAACGACTTAGCCGCGTTGCATATGCAGAAGAGTAATATAAAATTCAACAGACCGGTGTACGTCGGTATGAGTATTCTCGACTTGTCAAAACACTTAATGTATGACTTTTATTACAACGAACTTAAGAAGCAATACGGCGATAGATGCGAGGTGTTATATACCCACACAGATTCTTTGTTGATGGAAATACAAACCGAGGATGTGTATAATGATATGGCAGAAAAAATAGATATGTACGAAACGAGCGATTACCCAAAAGATAATCCACTGCACAGCGTAGTAAATAAAAAGGTGTTAGGTAAGATGAAGGATGAATGTGCTGGTATTCCTGTAGCAGAGTATGTTGGATTAAGACCTAAGATGTATTCTATAAAAAAGTCTGATAATAGAGAGATAAGAAAAGCTAAGGGTGTTAAGAAGTATGTGGTAAAAAAGCATGTCAAACACGAACAGCATAAAGAAGCATTATTCAACGGTAGAACATTCAAACATGAGATGAACACTTTAAGAAGTTACAATCATAGGATATATGGATTAAGAATGAACAAGACATCATTATCCCCCTTACATACAAAGAGATGGATTGATAAGAATGGTGTAACTACCTATGCTTATGGTTACTTAGGGCGGTAATACTGTACCGTTGGGAACTATGAACAACTCTTCTCATACAAATGCCCTGCCGGTCCATCTTTAAGATAATAAAGAATAGGTTCTCCTTCTTTCATAACCAATCAACTTATGTTATATGTCTTGCGCGACGTAGGCCTCCTTCGAGTTCACCTGGCTGGTATAAATATCTTACCCTTACTCTATCCGGAAGTTTTTGTTCTTTGCCTCTCCTCGGTGATGAAGATTCGGAAGTCACGGATTTCATTTTTATCGCATCGGATGGTTTCTTCCTGATTAATCTCGTTACTTCATTATTCAGCGCTGATACAACAGCTGATAATCGTGTCACCCATTCGGTTGATCTCAATCGCTCGGATTTCATTTCGATCCCATACTGATAGCCAAACAAACGTTCCGCTAATGTCCTTTTAAATCTTTCGATGATAGCTTGACTACGGTTGGGCCTCTTTTTCACCATGCCTGATTTCGACATCGTGCTCTGTTAACAGCTTAGTTATTGATCCCATAAACTCGCGACCGGGATCTACTTGGAATAGCTTAGGCCATTTTAGTGGTCCACGTTTATATATGCGACTCAGTGCATTAGCTACTTCTGTTGAATCTTTCGAAGTTAATGGCTCAGCCTCTTTGTATCAACTAGCCACATCCACTACGGTTAAAGCGTATTTATACGTTTTGCGTCTTACCTTATCGTGGGGAAGAAACAAGAGGTCAGCCTGATGAACTTCATTCGTTCCTTCTTCCTCGGTATATAACGCGGTGCTGGTAAGTATATTTGCCACATCGCTTGTTTCTTTAACCAATTCCGCAATCCTTGGCCACATCTTTAGATACCTTAGCCGCGGTGGCTAATTTTTTTTTTGGCTCCTATACCTTTCCAATATCCTCGTGGACTATAGTAAACTTTATCCATTATTAATTAATATTGATGTTTCTTTTAATACGACTTATGACTATCGTTGAATCGTATCATCATTTATACATAAAAAATTCCCTCTGTAGTAGCAGTATAGGTATATAAATCTGGCTCCAGTGGAGTTGCGGCAGAACCCCCATTACATATAAAAAAATATATCATAGAGGCATTGATTGACTCCAGGTGGTGGTGGTCCAGAGTCAATGTAACTTAATCTCATGACTATCGTTGAATCGCGTCATCATTTGTGCATAAAAAATTCCCCCTGTAGTAGCAATATAGGTATATAAATCCGGCTCCAGTGGAGTTGCGGCAGAACCATCATTACCTATACTACTGAGGTGAAATGCTGATTAATGTCGCGTCCAAGATTATTGCACTTATATAGCGACGTGCATGTACATATGCATGTGTATGTTTGTGTGACTGCTTGTACTAGGCCGGACTGATGCCGATTTATAGTACTAGCTCACTGAGATACCATGCCTCAGTTTAACATGAATACCCCACTCAGACACAGTATACTGACTCCGAGCAGACCAGTCCTTGTTTCAGCCCCTTAATGCCGAGCGCTAGAGAGGGTAACAACAGGTACCAATCAGACCTTATGTTTCGCTACCGCTAAACAAAGATCTGAAGACATCCCAATAGGGGTCACGTCAGAACGACCTTTCATCCAAACAATCAGAGCGTCGCTTACCAGATTATGAAAGTGACAGTCGGAATGTGATTTCTAATCATGCAACCTCGAAAACTTTAACATGGGGTATTCCGAACGATAGTTACGGGTTTAACGACTGAATCCTTAAAATCTAGACCATCTATAAACCATTCCAGAATGTTTTTTGTTCAGGTTTCAAATTTGTAAGATGGTACCTGTTGTTACCCTGTCTGACGCTCGGCATTAAGGGACTAAAACAAGGACTGGTCGGCTCGGAGTCAGTATATTGTGTCCGAGTGGGGTATTCTTGTTAAACTGCGGCATGGCATCCCAGTGAGCTAGCACTATAAATCGACGTTAAACCCCATTTCACCTCACCTCACCTTCATGTCATCTTCCTATGTTTCGTTGCGTTTTGTACTGGAAACCACCAAGTGAGCAATCCGCTGGTTATAGCGGAGTTATCTCCCTTGCTACAGTAAACGCGGCAGGACGGGCTTTAGTAATCATATATATCCTCAACGTGTGTAACAAAACGTCAATCGTCGACGCACGGTGTCGCTGTGTAATGTGTCGCTGGTGTGTCCCCATGGTCTGTCGAGCGGTTTTCGCAGCAGTAACAAAGCGATCTTTAAGATGCTGTCGCACAATCTGACGATCCTGGGATCGGGTGGTCAGGCACGCTGACTTGGTTGATGCATCTCATCGATCCCATTTGCGTGGATCGATGCTCATGGTATTAATCAGTGGATTGTCTGGTCCAGGCCAGACCTCCGTCATATAGCTGTAATATTGCTGAGTGCGGCGTTAAACAACACGCAAACAAACAAACAATTCACTGGTATGTAGGTTGTTCTTTAGTCAAGTTACGGACACGCATCTATATTTTTTCCAGGTTTTGAGAAACATGTTGTTATGGCACTGCGTGATGTATGAGATCCCAGAGAACCTGATGATAGATATACTCCTACAAGTTCCAGCCAAAGATATTGTACAGAACTGCGTGCTTGTATCTAAAGAGATGAAGGATATCAGCGACAAGACCGCACTGTGGAAGAGAAAATGTAAACTGGAAGGGAAGTATATTCCTAGTTTTGTGAAGAAAGAAGATTTTAAAAAGATGTATTTCTTTAATCCCTACACAAGAAATCTGATCAAGAATCCATGTGCACAGGGTAGGATCATTTATATGCACAGTGAATAATGCTATGCTTCTGAGCAGTTTGTGAAATATCCAAATGTTTCATTGGCATAGGCGATTATCATGATCTTACGTGTGATGTATATTGAATTTGTCTCTGAGCAATTTGTTAAAAATGAAATGTCAAAATGTTTAATTGACATGCGTTTTCTTGTCCAGACATAACCGTTAACAACGCGCTCTTGTTTACTCACTATGAACCCGTGAAGATCGGGGGTAGAATAGGTCTTCAGCAACCCATGCTTGCTGTAAAAGGTGACTATCCTTGTCGTAAGAGGCGACTAACGGGATCGGGTGGTCAGGATCGCTTATTTGGTTGATGCATGTCATCGATCCCAATTACGTGGATCGATGCTCATGGTATTAATCACTGGATTGTCTGGTCCATACTCGATTATTTACAGACCGCCGTCATATAGCTGGAATATTGTTGAGTGCGTCCTTAAACAACAAACCAACAACAACACTCACGTATGTCTCATCCGGGGTAGAATAGGTCTTCAACAACCCATGCTTGTCGTAAAATACTGCTCTGCTCGTTAAAAAAGGCGACTAATGGGATCGGGTGGTCAGGCTCATTGACTTGGTTGATGCATGTCATTGTATCCTAATTGCACGGATCGATGCTCGTGATGTCAATCACAGGATTGTCTGGTCCAGACTCGATAATTTAAAGACCGCCGTCATATAGCTGTAATATTTGTGCGGCGTTAAATCACGTATATGTGAAAGCCACTGTGTATAGGAAATGGTTTGCTCACTTGTTCTGAAAGTTCAAGTTGAGCTTATGTTTACCTCTTCTCTTCGTTGGAAAGTTTGTAAAAAAGTAGGGGAAATTGGTGGCTGTGTACACAACAAACCTGTGGTCAAGACTGACCGAGGTAGGTTAATGCTGTTTTATTGCACATCAGAGAACAGAACCAGTCAACCTCCAGTTCTCCCCCTTTCAAACTGCCTGGACATTTGGCCATAATGTGTTCAAGACACAAAAATCGTTTACAGAACTGAAAATTAATTATTTTCTAAAGTAGACACAATTTATGGATAACAACTTAAGACAGTCTTGCTAGACAACGGTTTGAGGATCTATACCGAAACGTCGCTTTTTACAGTATTAAAGCAGACACTGTACCCGACTTGAAAAAAAATAGACCGCTTTCGAAAAGTGAAAAGAAACAACGTAAAAAAGAAGCAAGGGCCCTTAAACCTGTTGAGGTGCCTTTGCCCTTGATTGTTCCTCTGGAGGTTCATAACCCTTTTGAACCTCTGGATATGGAGGTTGCTCCATCGCTGCCATTACAGCATAGAGGGCCTTCCCCCCGCTCACGATCTCCAATTGAGCCCCCATGATTTGTTCTCCCAGTTTAATCCAATGGAATTGTAGAGGACTTCTGACCAATTTTAACGACCTTCAGCTATTAATTCAGGATTTAAAACCATCAGCATTTTGTCTTCAAGAAACTTTCCTCAAATCAACAGATAATTTTAATTTAAGACAGTATGATTCCTACCATTGCTTTTCTCCTCCGGGTGATAAAGCTACTGGAGGATCTTCTGTTATGGTGAGGCAGGGCGTCATTCATAGTCCTGTTCCTCTGAATACTCCTCTTCAGGCTGTTGCAGTCCGTGTCACGTTGAATGTTGTATTTACATTGTGTTCTTTATACATTCCACCTTCTTATTCTCTGCCACAGTCCGATCTTCAGGCACTTTATGACCAACTCCCTAAACCCTGTGTTCTCATGGGAGATTTGAATGGCCATAACCCACTTTGGGGTAGTACTGACAGCAATACAAAGGGTAAATTACTTGAGGAATTTTTCTTAAATAATGATTTATGCATTTTTAATGACGGTTCAACCACTTATCTACATCCAGCAACTGGTACTTACTCTTGTCTGGATTTATCAGTTGTAGATTCTAACTTACTAAGTGAATTTGAATGGTCAGTCCACGATGACCTCTGTGGAAGTGACCATTTTCCAACCATTTTAGAATCTGTGACTCCATCTGATGTTCCCCCATCTTCACGTTGGAATTTTACTTGTTTTTCTAACAAACTAAACCCTGACGTATTTCTTGACGTTCCCGACTCTATACAACTGTTCTCCGATGAACTCACTAAAATAGCTGATGAATGTATTCCGAAGTCCTCCTCAAATCCTCACATACGTAAACCATGGTTCAACATTGATTGCAAACAAGCTAGGAAGGCACGGAAAAAGGCTGAAAAATATTTCCGACGCCATCCACTGGTCAATAATCTCAATAAATTTAAAATTGTAAATGCTAAAACCCGGCGCACTTTCAAACAAAACAAACGTCAATCTTGGCAAAATTATGTATCCAAGATAAATTCACGGACGCCAATGTCCAAGGTATGGAACATGATTCAGAAAATAAAAGGTAAGGGTTCTAAGTCAAGCATCCACCATCTCAAAGATCGGGATCAATTATTAACTGATACATCAGATATTGCAAATAAACTTGGTGAAACTCTGGCTCAACATTCTTCCTCGTCTAATTATGTCCCTCAATTTCAAAAATTCAAAAAGCTGCAGGAAAAGAAACCTTTACATTTTAATTCAGATAACGGGGAAGATTACAATGAAGTCTTTTCCATTCATGAGCTCAATACAGCACTTGGACAGGCTCATGACACTGCTGCAGGGTTTGATACTATCCATTATCAACTGTTAAAACATTTACCGCAATCCTGTTTAGAAACCCTTTTGATATTATTTGATACAATCTGGACGTCAGGAGAATTTCCTTCTTCGTGGCGTGAAGCTATCATTGTTCCAATACCTAAACCTGGACGTGACCATACAGTTCCTTCCAATTATCGACCCATTTCATTGACTAGCTGCGTTTGCAAAACCATGGAACGCATGGTCAATAATAGATTAACATGGTACTTGGAATCCAATAACTTAATCACAAATATTCAATGTGGCTTCCGTAAAAATCGCAGTACCATTGACCATTTAGTTCGATTGGAGTCATTCGTTAAGAATGCCCTTATAAACAAACAACATGCAGTGTCTATCTTTTTCGATCTAGAAAAAGCATATGACACTACATGGAAGTACGGTATTTTAAAAGATTTACATGATTTTGGATTGCGAGGCCGTTTGCCTCAATTTATATCCAAGTTTTTAACTGACAGGCAATTTCAAGTCCGCGTGGGTTCCACCCTGTCTGATCATTATAATCAGGATCAGGGTGTACCACAAGGCAGTATTTTGTCTGTCACTTTGTTTAGTATTAAAATCAACAGTTTAGCTAAGGTTTTAAACGATTCAATTGATGGATCGTTGTTTGTGGATGACTTTAATGTTTCTTGCCGTGGTAGGAACATGCATACGATTGAGAGGCAAATGCAACTGTGTTTAAATAAAATCCAAAAATGGTGTTTAGAAAATGGCTTTAAATTTTCCAAATCTAAAACTAACTGTATTCACTTTTGCAGAAAATATAAACCTCACAAAGACCCTGAACTAATATTAGATAACACCCCCATTAAAGTTGTAAAAGAAGCGAAGTTTTTGGGTATAATTTTCGATCATCATTTAACCTTTTTACCTCATATCAAATACTTAAAGAACACATGTCTGAAAGCCCTAGATTTGTTAAAAGTTGTCTCTAATTCCAAGTGGGGAGGGGATCAGAAAACCCTCCTCCAGCTATACCGAGCTCTCATACGCTCTAAACTTGATTATGGCTCCATCATTTATGGTGGGGCTTGTAAGAGCAATTTAAAATTATTGGACACCATTCATCACCAAGGCCTGAGACTTTGTCTTGGAGCCTTCCGAACTTCACCTATTCACAGTTTGTATGTGGAGGCTGATGAGCCATCCCTTCAACACCAACGCATTAAATTATCTTTACAGTATATATCTAAATTACGTTCTACTGAATACAATCCAGCATATGACTGTGTTTTTAATCCTCTGTACAAAAATCTATACAATAAAAAGCCATCTCTTATTCCACCCCTTGGAATAAGGATACAATCTGTTGTTTCTGCTGCCCAAATCAATCTTGAAACCATAGCCCCCACTCGGCTGTTCATTTCTCCACCATGGCAGTTAGTGAAGCCCGAGGTAGACCTAACATTAAGTAAACTAAAGAAATCCGACACAAATCAATTAATTTATCAACAGCAATATAATGAATTACGAAGCACGTATGATACTCATAAATCTATATTTACAGATGGATCCAAGGATGGTGATGCTGTTGCCAGCGCCACCGTCATTGGATCCAGAACTATCTCAACCAGATTACCAGATAACTGTTCTATCTTCACAGCAGAAGCAAATGCTATTTTAACGGCTCTAATATACATCAACAGCCAAACTAAACATAAACAGTTCATTATTTTTTCAGACTCTCTTTCTTGCATTCAAGCTATTAAAAACATGTCTTCCACGCATCCACTTTTAATGGAAATTGTTGAATTGTTTAATGAGCTTGCTACTGGCCAATGCGACATCATTTTCTGTTGGTTACCAAGCCATGTTGGAATCACTGGTAATACAATGGCCGATGCTGCAGCTAAAGCAGCACTCAACAAATCTGTGACACCACTTCTGCTTCCATACAGCGATTATAAACCTGTAATAAGAAACTACATCAGAGATATAATGCAGCAGAAGTGGGACACCCAAGTAGGTATTAATAAATTACATGCTATAAAACCAACCATCGGTTACACCTACTTGGGTTGTCAGTCCAGATTTGAAGAGGTCATTGTACGACGATGTCGCATTGGCCACAGCAGGTATACAAATGAATATTTACTTAAAGGTGAGGATCCTCCATTTTGTATCCCTTGTGATGAAAGAATCACAGTCAAGCATGTCCTGCTTGACTGTGTTGATTTTTCCATCACAAGGGATAATTTTTTCAAATCATCATCGCTTAAGGATCTTTTTACCAATATTAGTCCTCATTTAATTATTGCATTTTTAAAAGAAATTGAACTGATAAATAAATTTTGATGTACATATTTGTTTCTTAATTTGATAGTGTCTAATTGTGAACTGAGATTGTTCCTGGCTGTGCCCTTGACGGGGGTTAAAGTACTGTAAAATTATTGTCCCCCTGAGAGGGCATAGTAAGTCCATATCATTCGAAGTCTGTTATTCCTATCATAGTTTTAATCGTAGAATATATGTTCTTTTAAATACAGCTGAATTCCCTAATCGTCGCCAACAACTGAAGGGATGATGTAAATCCTGCTGGGGTCCATGCAGGTAGCAAAGGTACTGTAAGTCCCCATGGTCCCCAGTATGGTGATCTACCTTCAGTTGCTGGCGATCTATAGCCCATTTTATAATGTATTGTCCTGTCTAGTGATGTATTTTTATGGTTCCCTGCTAGTTTTAAATAATAATCTGTGATAAGTCTAGTTATTTTACTGTCCCTTGTCGACAGGTTTTTATGGTTTACATGTATTTATTATATATAACTTTTGAAAGTCACGATATGGCTGAAATATTGCCGATGTGACTTAAAATCTTAACTCACTCACTCACTCACTCACTACAGTATTAAAGAAGTTGTTATCCATAAATTGTGTCTATTTTGTCATCCGTCAACTTCTATGTCATGCCTATCAATGAATTTAATAATTTTTCTTACTTGAATTTTAAAAAGAAGTCGAATAACACGATAACATTTTGTTTCGTTTAAAACAGCTGACTGATTTCAAAGTCACAAGGTTTAGATTGAGTGAGTTTTCCTTCGCATTTTACCATGTTTGAAGTTCCCGTGTATCTTTGATTGCTATAGAGGGATTACAACACTGGCAAGTGATGCAAACTGGAGGTGATAACTTCATAGTGGAGGAAGAACATCATGGATCTCAGGATGTAACTCAAGATATGGTTCAAGGTAAACTCTCTTCTGTGAGTGAGCGATGTGGGTTTAATGAACTGTATTTCACAGGGTGTTAAATTCATGTGTGATGAAAAGTAGTGCATCTTCCAGAGGCAAGGTAGTTAACTGATTATATAACTCGAGTTTGCCGAACTAGGCTGGAATTAAGGGGGTTATGTTTTGGCTGGACTAACGAGTCCGGTTTGCAAACTGCCGTGCAGATTTCGGTCGATTGTAGGTTTTGCAAAACATGTCTATGGTCAACATGCCGTCAACAGGCATTTTCCAAATCTTTTCATGTCTTTTAATCAAGGTGCTCACGTGATGGTATGCATTTCGCAAAATAAGGCCCGTTTTATTTCTTGATTATCGATCAGATCGTCTTCTCTAGGCGCCGCCATTTTCTTTGAAGCAAATGCAAGTGATATTAGAGGTGGAATCTGATTGGTCAGTAGGAGGGACATAGACAGGGCAGAGCTCGTAATAGCCACTGGTGGCGCTACGATTGAGCCCAGAAATTTCACCCCAGATCAGCAAGGGCTGAAACTGGACCTATACAATCGGGAAGATGAAAGTAGTGTTGAAACATTACTTCCAGTACCGTACATGCTATGGGTGCTTAGAAAATTGACATGGAAAATCAGACACAAGTTAAATTCAGACATCGAGAAAAGGAGGACAAACGTGGGTAAAAATATAACTTCTATGGTAATAATTACAAAGCAATTATGTACCACTTTGACAATGCTATTTCTTCTGTAAAAAATGTAAAATACACAAAACTACAGACTGTCACGTAAATGTTGTGGCTAAGTAAGTGGGTCGGGGATGCTAGTGAGTGAGTATGGTTTTACGCCGTTTTTAGCAATATTCCAGCAATATCACGGCAGGGGACACCAGAAATGGGCTGCACACATTGTACCCATGTCGGGAATCGAACCCGGGTCTTCAGCGTGACGAGCGAACGATTTGACCACTAGGCTACCCGACCGCCCCCTCGGGGATGCTAAATACAGCTAGTATGCTAATCTGTTCTGGTCCATCACTTTTGTTTAATTCTTCAGAGTGGCCAGATCGGAATATAAACAATTGGGCCACGTCGTATGAGCATTGTGAGAAAATGCAGAGAATTAACCTAGGGGAGGAGGGCGTGGTCGCTGAAGTGTTGGACACGAACAAACCACCCATCTACATCTCCGAGTGGTAGGTTGAGAGCATTTTGTTTTTGTTGATGGAGTAACAGACCGGAGCCAAAACCTTTGCAAACACTAAGTTAAAGATAAACATTGTCCAAAGTTTTGTTTTTGTCAAATCGTAAAGTTTATAAAACATTAAGGTATTGAAAGTTATGTGTTTTTAAGTTCACCTGTATTTTCATATCAGAACACTCTTTACGAAATACTTGGCATAAACATTTGTTACCATAACAATGAAATACTATTACCATGATTAAAATGATAACGTAGAGTCCTCTCATATCAAACAGATCCCCTTAGAATTGGTTAGAATTGATCTTCGGCCACCCATGCTTGTCGTAAGAAATATGTTCGTTTTGCAACACAGGTTGGTTTGCTTGGTTGGTTGGTTGTTTAACGCCGCACTCAGCAAGATTACAGCTATATGACGGCGGTCTGTAAATAATCGAGTCTGGACCAGACAATCCAGTGATTAATATCATGAGCATGGGTCCACGTAATTGGGATCGATGACATGCATCAACCAAGTCAGCGAGCCTGACCACCCGATCCCGTTAGTCGCCTTTTACGACAAGCATAGTCGCCTTTTACGGCAAGCATGGGTTGATGAAGACCTATTCTACCCCGGGTCTGCAACACAGGTATGTGTTGGTATTGGTACATAAACTACAGCAACATGAGTATATCTGACACCAAAGTTATGTATTTAGTATAGTATTGACACTAACCTGATTAATATTACTTTATGAACAGAGGCCCTGATTATCTATTTATTAAAGGTACGCTGCACGACATGACTGCGCATGTCACTATGAGCTGGAGGTGAAGCTGTTGTCTGGTGACGAGCAAGAGCTGGACAGATTCAGCTTTGAGGTTAATGTCCCACAGTGGAAATCAGGAGAGTGGACTAAGGTAGTTCCCATGGCAACTTAGCTGTGTAGAGTTGAATCCCTTGAGGTAGCCAGGATCTTATGAGTTTGGGTTGAAATGTCAGATTCACGGTATTCTTCGTTTGTCAGCATGTTCGTTTCCTCAACAAAATTGGAAACGTCTAAGAACAGCATATCTTTGACCATGAAGCTTTCATGCTGTGAAGATGAAACACTATCCCAAGCTGCGCGGGATGTTATAACATTTGTCACTTTTGTGAAGCACACGTGTGGTGATAATGGGCCAAGGAGTATAATCCAGCTCTATCTTGGATGTTTGTTTGTTTGTTTGTTGTTTAACGCCGCACTCAGCACTATTACAGCTATATGACGGCGGTCTGTTAAATATTCGAGTCTGGACCAGACAATCCAGTGATTGACATCATGAGCATCGATCCACGCAATTGGGATCGATGACATGTATCAACCAAGTCAGCGAGCCTGACCACCCGATCCCGTTAGTCGCCTTTTACGACAAGCATAGTCGCCTTGTACGGCAAGTATGGGTTGCTGAAGACCTATTTTACCTTGGAATCTTCACGGGTCCTATCTTGGATGTGAATTCACATTCGGCACCACCACAGGGCGTCATTCTGCCTTCCAAATATCAGTGCCTAACACCACAGGGCCCCATTTTCCCTAGATATGCACTAAGGCTGCAAATGTATTTTGATATTTATATCCGATCTAGATCTTTGGTATTTACTTATTTATAATGCACACTTTTCCCTCTGATAACGAGTACTGTCTACAGAGGTTCGCATATTATACACACAGAGTAAAAACAAAATAAATCTTATTGTCAGAACTAATTATTAATGTTATTTACAGGAACCATCATCAGATCACTGTTGACACCTTGAAATGAATCTGAGTCGTCAGAAAATGAATACATATATAACGAAATGCCATCATGTGACATCATCATAAGTCAAAGTCCAAGTTCTTGTTAATTGACTATATATTTGACAACACTATATTTTGCGAACTTTGGCTCTTACTTTTTTCATACATAAAATATAACTGGTAATTTACCACAATTCTACACAATAACAAGATATCATATTTTGTACGTGTTACAATACCTGTTTTAGAATTGAAAAAATAATTCTGTTTTAATAGGATATATTCAAACAAATGATCGCTGTTTTGTTTTTCAGGTGGAGCATGTGTTTACAGACTATGAGGCTGGCGTTAGGTTCATTGAATTCCGACATCTTGGGGTTGATAGGCAGTTTTGGGCCGGACATTACGGACCAAAGTTTACTCTCTCAACTGTGAAATTTATGTTTGACTAATGCAAAATAGTGAATGTCAGACTCTGTATTTTCAGAATTAAGCTGAGAGAGCAATATCGACTGGTCGCCATAGCAACCGTTAGTTATCATGGTAACCACAAACATGTGATATTTGGAGATGGAGGTGAATACATGTATCTAACTGATATCCCTGAATAATCTATCGTCAAAATATTATCTGTAAGAATAAAAGACACTTCAGGAAGTGAAATTTGATTAATAGAAGCTCGCCTATTGTATGTTATTTGAGAAGCTTGACATAAGGTGAAGGTGGTAGTGGTTTGATTTGTTGAAAATTTGTGTAATTACTGTATTGCTTAAAGTGCAGGTATCATGGAAAATAGTAATAGAGTTTTCTTACATCCTTATGTAGGTAGTATGCAGTACTATAGGATGGCCGAGATAAAAGTGTGAATACCAAACCTTAGTGAGTGAGTGAGGTTTTACACCGCTTTTAGCAATATTCCAGCAATATCACGGCGGGGGACACCAGAAATGGGCTTCACACATTGTACCCATGTCAGAAATCGAACCCGGGTCTTCGGCGTGACGAGCGAACGCTTTAACCACTAGGCTACCCGAGCGCCCCACCAAACCTTAGTTGTTGCGCTTAGTTAAAAGGACATATTTCGATGTCCGTGTTTGTCAGAACCAAAACGAATCTTAATTAGCACGGATGGCTTGCCTCCAAGCTGATTAGGTATTAGAATTGTAGGGAGACCTGTATGAATAAAATACAGGTATGGATTCCATATTTGTCAAGAGGAGTGAGTGAGTGAGTATGGTTTTACGCCGCTTTTAGCAATATTCCAGCAATATCACGGCGGGGGACACCAGAAATGAGGTTCACACATTGTACGCATGTCGGGAATCGAACCCGGGTCTTCGGCGTGACGAGCGAACGCTACCTTTGTACCCGACCGCCCGTTTGTCAAGAGTATGGCTGGTGGGGACGTGTCAAGTAGCCTTGATTTAACGTGAATCAAATTATTCAATCCCAAGAATAATTGAGTTCATGTGTATATAGGAGAATGTCAATGTGTTAAAAACGGTGAGGAAAAGGTTTGCTTGAACGGAGACTTGCCTGCTTGAGTGCAAACAAAGGGGTGGGTTTGTTGTGCGATCAAGCGTGTAATTTTGGAGGTAGCTTGTGCGATGTCTAATTTTGGGGGTAATTCCTCCAATACGACCATATATGGAACCTCTTTGTATAAAGGCTCCTCCTCCGATGTATTTGCATTTCAGCCTTTGAAATTGACAGACAAGACAGAAATGCAAATAAACTATATTTACGAAATCTGAACTGTTTTGGAAGCTAGCATCTAACTTGTTGTTGTGGTTCACTTGTCAGTGTTAACAAACATTTGTATAAAACGATAATCAAATCGACACATTTAGCATAATGTTTTTGACAATATGGTTATATGTGAATAAATGGGCTAAAGCACTGCTTGTCTAATGTGATGCATGTATATATGATCAATTCTTATATCCGGCATGTCATGTGTACGTTCAGTTTATACCATCACGCCAGTAAAGAAAACTGATACGACAATTTCAATCTTCTCATTGTTCGTTTCACATAAATTCATCAGCATATGAGCTTCAACATCATGATTATGTTTCTAGGTTTGTCAGCACCATATCCGTGCTCGTAGGTTTCACCGAAGTGGAAAACGTCTGAGACCTGTATTACTTCGGGCTTTCCTCCCACATAAAGTTTGTTTGTTTTTGTTTGTTTGTTTGTTGATTAACGCCGCACTCAGCAATATTCCAGCTATATGACGGCGGTTTGTAAATAATCGAATCTGCCCATTGAAGACATATATTGCAGTCTCAAATTTAGAAGTTTTAACTCAATTTCAGAAAAAAGTGATAAGGGTAGGCAATTAGAACTGGGTAAAAAAAATCGGAGCAAAATATAATTTGACTTTTTGGTAGGTCACCAGTCTTTTCATTGGAATTTTAAGAGAGTATGTTATTACAGTGCTTGATGTTAGCCTAAATTACTTTAATCCTCTTAATCTTTCAGAGGAGGTTATGTTTTCAGGGGATTATTGTACGTATATATTTCGTATCAAGGTTTCTCGGCGCAATCCACCAACGATTGTCGAGTTTAATGATCTTCAAGTACGTTTCAAGGTGAAAGAGAAAATTTGCTTTGGTGACAAACATATTTTCTTTATAAATTTTCATTTCCTTTCTATTTGGATACAAGCAGATATATTTCAGCAATTGATTGCAAGAAATTTATGATAATTCGTATACTCTTTGAAACTATACAAGAGTTATCCGAAGATACCGGATGTTATTTGTGTATGCACGGGATCTGTCAACTTATTTGTTGTATTTGAATTCTTCGTCAAAATAACATGAATTTTGTAAATATGATTAAATTCCCTCGTTTGTTTCAAGAAAAGGATCATGTACTCCTTATCAACTCGTATAGCGTTTCCACTGCAAATCGACACACTGGTTGACCAGCCTGTGTTTGTACCCTTCGTCATCACTCGTTCAGTCCTGTCGAACTGGTCAACGTACTGTTGAAGCAAGTCATGCAAAAAAACGTTAGTGCGTCGTCTGCTCCGCTAGCCTTCTCTTGACAATGACTTCCAAACAAGCCGAAAGTGTTTTGCAATCACTTACAAATAGATACATTTTAATATTTTAGGTTATGGTATGATAAAAAGGTTATTATATAGCAGCTTCCATATCATACCCCATTTCAACCTCGACCCCCATATCAGCCAGATGATGATTCCCCAGCAGAGCATGTGCCATGTACCAATCTATTACATCTCCAGATCGCCTGAAAAAGCTGGAAGAAATAAAGGCGTGTGTAATATGGCTGAGACGTGTAACTCGGGACTGAGCAGGAAGGTGATATATTGTTTAATGACAAAAAATATCTAGAACTCTATGGTAACACTACAAGTCATTAATGTTCGCATTTCTTTCCAACAATGGACTGACTGAATACTTCACTTATCCATTATGGCTACTGATGAATAGAAGTACCGCATTGCAGCATAGAAGGTTGCGTCATTCCATTTGTACTGGCGTTCAAGCCCTAGAGAGACACAGTCGCCATCATAAGAAGGTCTGTGTTATCCCCAGGTCGGGATAACAAGCCAATTTCACTCCTTATTCGGGACTCCATTGCTCATTTTTTGACAACACACCCTGTACTTTTTTTATATTTTGTTTGCACCCTTACAACACACCGACACCTCCTTTTTTTAATCGAACCATGACGGATGGACAACGAATTTACTGGATCCATCTCATTCCGAAAATATCGCAAATATCCGTAGAATGGCGTCTTACATCATGAATCCGAGATACACAAAATCGCGAATGGTATGTCTTAATGTAATGCCAACAGTACGGCAGATCGAGCGGAGAACAGAAAAAAAAGTACCATACATACTTGCGGGGTAAATTTGGGACTCGGATTTTGTATGGAGACTAGATATTTTTTCTCCAACATATGCAAAACCATTATAATTAAAACTATGAGCTAAAATGTTTTTTTACAAAAAATATCTCGCAATAACGTATAATTTGTCACAGATAATCTATTTTTCGCTTAAAGAATAAATTCCTTCAAGAATAATGTGGGGCAATTTGTTTTTTAGGGGGGAATACAGTTGGAGGAAATGCAGCTTAAACAACAAAGAAAAATTACGTCCTAACATAACCGGCCAAAGATACCTGTCTATGTATATGTGGAATTGCCAAGTCACCTGACGCTGGACCGGCTTTTCTAATTAATCATTTATTCTCTTTGAGCCCTGTATTTATTGATTCGTGTTTCTGGGAAATCTAAATCTATATCTACAGTTCCAGTCGATGCAAGTAATCGCATCCTAATTCTGTAGATCGATGTTCATCATAGCAATTTCTAGATGGTTTGGTCTAGACTCGATTACAACCTTCCTATTGCTTGACCATTGCTCGGTGCGGCGTTGGACAACAAACAATCATTGATTCTGTTATGATACTCTTTGAGCCCTGTATTTATTGATTCGTGTTTCTAGGAAATCTAAATCTATTTCTCAGGTATAACACAATATAAATACCGTGTATAGGCTTTGGGTGAAGAACAGTTAGAAGAAACATTTGTACAGGACAGGTGAGTCATTATTTCTGTACTTGGCATGGTAAGGTAATGGCATTTGTCTCAATGTAATCGGTCTTATCATGTTGACACAAATACATTATTAGGTTATTCTTTGTTACTAGTAGTATCAAATTATATCAAGAATCATTATTTCAGTTAGCTGTTTGAAATGCACCTGGTGATAATGCTTAGATCATTTAGTGGCTCGGTTGATGGAATGCCAATTCATTGTAGATACTCAGTGTAATTAATCAACAACACTGGGATGTTAAATATGTATTTTGTGGAAGCAGTATGTGTTCGCTGCGTTCGCATCTCATCCTACATATATGGATAAGGGTTATAGAACAGTCTCATGAGGTATGTGAAATAAAAATGCATCATACCTAGTACAAGATCATCTTGAATTGGATATACAAATGCCAACTTCGAGATAAAGGTTCACATTTTTATAGTGAAGTCAAAGAAGTGCAAGTTACAAAATAACGCTATGTATTTTATCTCGAATTCGAGATAAGCGGTCACACAGGAGAATAGGTTCGAGATATTGATGATAATGATAAGTCCATTGTTTAGGCGCTATTTTCCATCCACTGTTGTTGCTCAAAACTTGTCTAGATATGTCTTGAGTTTTGCCTTGAAAACAGAAAGGGATGGGGAGTGTCTTCAGTTCAATCCTCAAAGGATTCCATGGGAATGGGGCACAGTGTGAGAAAGATCTTTGTCCAAAGGACTTGAGGTTGACATTTGAAATAGAGAGAAGCATATTTTCCCTCTTCTGTAACTGAGTGGGTTAAAATTTAATGTCGCATCAGCATTATTCAAGCCATATCGAGACGAGACCAAGTTAATATATTAACAAGTCATTCATTTATGCAAATAATATTTAAAAACAAGTTATGAAACATATTTGAGCATAACAATATAATCAATACAGTTTAAAACAGCAACAGGCCACCAGTAACCAAAGCTAGGCCACCTCGCTGGGGATCATGGGAACTGCATGATACTTTGCAGGATTTACGTCATCACTTTAGCCACTGGTGGTTGTGCACAGTGCTAGCCAATATTAAAAATACTCAGCAATGAGTTGGCTTAAAAACACTGGTGGGTGATAGTTACATCCATTATGATTTGATTATGTGTCACACAGGGGGACAATAATTCTACGATACTTTAACCTCCTGGAAAGAGCTTTCAATAATGTCAGTTGATAATAGCATCACACCAACTTTAAAAACAAGCATTTAATTATTCACATGCATATTTAAATTTCATTATAATGAACAATTTCTTTCAAGAAATTGATGATGAGATGCCAACTGACACGGGAAAAGAGATCGTTCAGATTTACGCTTTGATAATGCGAATGCCTTGCGATTGCAGAGATCCGAGGTAGTATAGGTCTTCAGCAACCCATGCTTGCTGTCATAGGTGACTATGCTTGTCGTAAGAGGCGACTAATGGGATCGGGTTGTCAGGCTTACTTACTTGTTTGATGCATGTCATCGATCCCAATTGCGTAGATCGATGCTCATGTTGTCAATCACTGGATTGTCGGGTTCACTCGATTATTTACAGACCGCCGTCATAAAGCTTGAATATTGCTGAGTGCGGCGTTAAACAACAAACAAACAACATATGCTTGACGGGGAACCT